TATTAAAGTTTTCGGCCATGTCTCTCACTTCCTCGTTATTAAACTCACCACCGTTGTCACTGAACAACTTTTGTGGTGGGCCATGCACACTGATCCAATCATGGATAAAACGTTTGACTATTTCAGAAGATCTCTTGGTGGTTAAAACACTACCAGCACTGAAACGGGTGAACTGATCAATGATATGTAGGTACCACACCCCAGGTTCAAGCTCATGCAGATCTACAGCAACTGTCTCATTATATGTAGATGCCAATGGTAAACCGACAGCAGGTTTTGGTTTGGTCTTACAATATTTTTGACACATTTCACACTGGTTCACAATCTTTTTCATCAGATTATTGCATTCTGTGTCCTTATTGCCAGAACTAGTCAAAAGTCTTTGTATTTTATCAGCAGAGGCGTGCCCAAACTGTTTATGAAGTTTCTCTAAAACTTTCATCTTTTCACTTGTGTTCATCTTGTCTGTTGTAGTCAGAATTTCTTCCTCAGTAGTATCTAATAGCTTATCAGAGAGAGTAGGATTTTTATTTTCACTGTCCACAATGTTCACACAGTAATGACCAGAGCTAGTAAAGTCCAGTTTGACAGGCTGGTTGAACATCAATGCACTGTTGTTTTCCATGTCCAAAACGGTCCCAGCCCTTTTTAATTATGTTTTGCTCAGAAGCAGTGGAATGTTAGCAGGTACCACTTCAGTTTCTATATTACACTTTTTGTTGCCGATCTTAGCAGGTATCCTTACCTTTTTAATGGAGTGGACGACTCTTCTATCTCCAAACTTAAAGGGCCTGTGACTTTGTGTTTCTGTCGCTTTCATCGTCTTCACACTTTTCTTTTGTAACACAGTACTATAGTTGTCCAGCCACTCTCGTCCACAAACTGTCCTAGTACAAGCAGTCTATTATCACTGAGCCAAAACATTGTCATGAATATTTCTGCATCTGTTGGTGATTCTTTGGTGTATAGAGTTATATTGCATTCTTCCACGTTTGTTGTATCATCGGTTATTTTAACACTCTCAGCTTTGTGTGGACAGTCTTTAACCCAGTGAAAAGTACTTTGGCACACTGCACATTTTGATCGCCGCCCATACTTATCCAACGGGTTTGTACCGGGCTGTGCAGTGCTGGACTGTGGAGTTTTCTGACGAGTATTTTGCCGCCAGGAATTGCCCTTTTGCCACCGTTGCTCTGTTACAAACACGGACTCTTGGTTAATATTTTCTGCTGTCGCACTCTTTTTTTTTTTTTCGCCAAATATTCTCTTCAAAGCAGACTTCATTGAAACAAAAGTTATATCTGAACATGCCGTTAGAGCCAACTGTCTGTCCGTCATATCCAAACAAGCGGTGTCCAAAAGCTTAAAAGCTAAAACAGCGTCGGGTAGCTCCATGTTGTATTTTTTCATGCGCGAGTAGCGTTGCTCGAAATCAATAATATAGTCTGCCATCGACATATTTGCTTCTTTAATGACCCGGTCAAAATCTGAGTACGCTTCATAGACCCTGTCTTTTTCCTCTTTTAGGAACAAATCATCTAGTTTAGCTAACAATGTGGTCATTCCAGTGTCTTTATTTAGATCGTCTACCGGAATTTCCATCGCCGTGTCTCGCGCCCTTCCAGACAGCGCCAGGGCCACAGCAAGCGCTTGCTTTTTCTTCTCCAAGTCTGTAACTCTCGTCCAAATGTTGACTTCATTCTTCCAACTTTCATAAGGCTTTCCTTCTTCAAACGTTGGTGGAACTCTGTAGTTGCTAACCATCCTCTGCTACCAATGTGAGTCAATAAAAATAACTTTTCCTTTTTGGATCCAATAGAACTTTAATCCACCATGCTCATCTCAGCTCAACTACACAGACACCACCGAAGAAGAGTGTAAACCACATTTCCATGTGCTACAGGCATGACAGTGCCCCCTAGCGGATTGGCATGCAAACTAAACAAAACAAAGGAGTAACACAAACGTCTCACTTGTAAATGAGTCTTTGAGGCTCAATGTGATTTATCTGTTTAAATAAAGGTTGAATGAATTATAAGACTGAGCTGAATACAGCACCTCAGACTGAGGAAGTCTTTCGGATGAAAGATGAAACGTTTCTACATTTTTTTGTTTTTGTTTTGCTTTGTTTTGTTTTGTGAATGTCCAGAGGACCAGATTTAACTTTTTTAGATCATATGGAAGTAATTACATGATTATTGCTTGTGTTTTTTTATTTTATTTTTGTAAACATTTAAATAGTCTATGAGATTTCTCTCCCTCTGCTGGACGCAAAGCCTTACACATTTTATGGGAAAATAAATGATGAAATTGAATTGAGACACGTTATGTCATTATCTCCTTTGATCAGAACACTTTTTCTACCAATTTTCGTAATTAAATTGCTGTCATTGTTGTAAAAGTTTGACTTCAGTCTTTGTAGTTGCAGTTAAATGCACGTTTTGATGTTAGGAGTATAAATAAGAGTTAGCTACAGCCTGCCAGTCTGGAGTCAGTTTGGATGTAGCACAGATTTTTATCATCTCAGACTCTGAACGTGGTTTAATGGCTGACTGAAGATATTTAGATGTGAGACTTAAAAAAATGTTTTCACTGTCAAGACTGTGTTTTAATATATACATTTTCTTTTTGTTCAGACACAGATGAGAGTTCATCCTGGGTTTTTCTTCAGAAACAAGAAGTTACTGTGATGGACTGGGACGCAGCAGAAGAAGCAACAGTGAAAAAAACACTAGTTAATTTGGGCAATAATTCAGATGTCATATTGTTACTGTCAGAAGATGAGGAGGACGATGTGTGTGTGTGGACGGAGCAGAAAGCAGAGCACATGGACATTCAGGAGAAGCCACAGCAGACACAGAGTGCCACTCCAGCTGTGGATGAGCACAGCTGTGGCGATGATTCAGGCAGCTGTGATTTAGTGGCATTCATCCAAAAACACTGCTATAACAACATTTACTCAGCCCACCCTGAAGACCTGCTGCAGGTTGTTTCAGACACACCTTATTGTCTGTACCTGTACGTCGGGGTCCAGGTGGGTGGAGGACAGAGCACCAGCT